AAATGTCCATTTAGGAGGGTCGTTAATTTTGAAGTTCCAAGATGGGTGCTCCCGTGCAGGGAGCGCAGTAGGTCTAATCCAAGCGCCTTTGGTAGCAGCAGGCATTGGTCTTGTAGTTGTAGCCAGGCGTGGGGCCCTTTTGTACAATTTAGTCTGTTCCCTAATTCAACCTCTTCTGGAGTATAGTTAGGTTGCTTTGGTAGTTCCCTTTGTGGGAGCAGAGGAAGTATGTCAAGGGGCCCCGCTGTTCTTGTGGCTATGTCCCTTGCTGCTTGGTCAGCTAGGGAGTTTCCCTTCGTGATGGGGTCATTCCCTTTCTGGTGCCCTTTGCAATGCATGATTGCTACCCTCTTTGGGAGCAAGATGGCTTCTAATAGGGCTAGGATTTCTTCCTTATTTTTGATTTTCTTGCCAGAGGAGGTAAGGAGACCCCTCTCTTGGTAGAGGGAACCATGAATATGAGCCATTGCAAAAGCGTAGCGGCTGTCAGTATAGATGTCTGCTGTCTTTCCTCTTGCCTATCTTAAAGCTTGTGTCAGAGCAATTAGTTCAGCCCATTGGGCAGAAGTTCCTTGTGGTAGGGCCTGTGCCCAAATAATGTCTGTCTGAGTGGTGATTGCTGCCCCCGCTAGTCTGACCCCTTCTTTCAGATAGCTGCTGCCATCTGTGAATAGTTCAAGTTCAGCCTCAAGGAGCGGATGTCAGTGAGGTCTGGTATGGACCCCGTAAGGGTGTCTAGGATCTCAGAACAATCGTGCAGTGGCTCCTCGGGGTCATCATCTGACATGAGGGTGGCTGGGTTCAGGACTGAGACCTTGGAGAAAGTTATGTGTGGTGGGTTTAGGAGTAGAACCTGATACTGGATGACCCTTGCATTTGAGATCCACCGGTCCGGCGGGCTCCTTAAGAGGGCTTCTGTATGTGGCCCCTTATGGTCTGCAGGTCCTGTCCTAAAGTTAATGTCTGAGCTTCTCTGACTAAGAGCGCTGTGGCTGCAATGGCTCTCATACAGTTTGGCCAGCCAGAAGCGACAGGATCAAGTCTCTTAGAGAGATAGGCCACTGGTCTTTTCCATGGCCCTAGGATTTGGGTTAGAACTCCCTTTGTAATTCCCCTTGCTTCGGCTACAAAGAGCTGGAAAGGCTTGGTAATGTCTGGTAAGGCTAGGGCTGGAGCTGAGGTTAGGGCCCTTTTGAGTTCCTCAAATGCCTTTTGTTCTGTCTCAGTCCAAATAAGTTCAGTGCCCTTTCCCCCAGTGCTGGAATACAGCAGTTTTGCTATTTCTGCAAAGCCTAAAATCCATAGTAGGCAATATCCAATAGCCCCTAGGAATTCTCATATCTGTCTCTTGGTAGCTGGAGTTGGGATCCGGAGGACGGCCTCAATTCTGCTGTTCAAGAGAGACCTCGTACCTTCCTTTAGTTGGTATTCTAGGTAGGTTGCCTCTTGTGTGCATAGGTGAGCCTTTTTGGCTGACACTTGGTAACCCAGTTTCTGCAGCTCCTCTAGGATGGCTCGTGTCGCTTCTAGGCATTCATGCAAGGAAGAGGCTGCGAGAAGGAGGTCATCTACATATTGTAGAAGGGTTACCAGTGGGTGGCTCTCTCGGAAGCCAAGGAGGTCTCTGCTGAGAGCTTCATCGAACAGTGTTGGAGAGTTCTTAAATCCTTGTGGCAGGCGAGTCCATGTCAATTGTCCAGAAACAACCCCTCAGGATCCGTCCACTCAAAGGTGAAGATGGGTTGGCTCAAAGGTGATAAAGGCAGGGAGAAGAAGGCATCTTTCAGGTCCAGGACCATGTAGAAGGTCCTGGAGGGTGATATGAGGCTCAAAAGGGTGTAAGGATTAGGCACAGTAGGATGTATGGTTTCTATCCGAACATTTACCTCACGTAAGTCCTGAACAGGTCGATAATCTCCTGTCCCTGGCTTCTTCACAGGTAACAAGGGTGTGTTCCAGGCTGACTGGCAGGACCGGAGACTACCTGCCTGCAATAGTCTTCTGATATGCTTAGCAATCCCAACCTTAGCTTTTTGGGGAATCGGATATTGCCAAACCCATATAGGGGTAGCTGAACTCAAGAGTTGAACAATTATTGGTGGTTGGTGTGCAGCTAAGCCTGGGTGGTTAGTCTCGGCCCATACACCTGGAATTTCATCCTGCAATTTCCTTCATAGGTTCTGGTTATTTGGTCTCTCAGGGTCCCCTTCATATAGTATGTATTCCTCTGATATAGGAACCGACACCATAATTGTCTGTGGTGTCTCCCTTATAATTAGGGTGGATTCTTCATTTGCAAAGGGTATAGTAGGCTGTAGCTTCTGAAGCAGGTCCTTTCCAAGGAGAGGGTAGGGACAGTCTGGCATGACTAGGAAGGAGTGTGTTATAGTCCCCTTACCTAGGTCAGTGATTCCTGCTGTGTCCAGGGATAGGATTTGGGCTTCCCAGTAGCTCCTACAATGGAGGTCCGTTCAGAGGAAAGGGGTCCATGAGGCTTTTTGAGTACCAAGTAAGTGGCCCCTGTGCCGACCAGGAAATCAATCGGTTGGCCCCCAAGTGTCAAAGTTTCCCTAGGCTCCTGAGGGCCAAGTTTGTAGGAGCCCCGGCCTCTTCATTCTTGGTCCTCAAAGAGGATGCCAGGGGAATTACTAGCCTGTTCCCTCTCCTTCTTTTGGCTCATGATCCCCTTGGGGCACTCACTCTTCCAATGTCCCCTTTCCTACAATAGGCACATTGGTCCTTGTTAAGGGGAGGCCTTCCTTTCTTTTCTTTTTGGTTTCCTTGTGGTCCATTCTTGTAGCGACCTTGTGGAGTTATTTTTCCGCCCTGGGCGGCTAGTAGAATTTTAGCTAGCTGCTTTGTCTGGCCCGTTATGGGATCATCCCTATTCTGGAAGACTTTTAGAGCAATTTCTGACAACTCATTAAGATTCTTCCCTTCAAATCCTTCTATCTTTTGTAATTTATTTTTGATGTCAGGGTCCGACTGGGAGACAAAAGCTATGTTAACAATATGTTTATTCTCATTTGCTTCTGGGTCTAAGGGAGAATAGGTCCGGTAGGCCTCTAAGAGTCTTTCTAGGAAGGCTGCCGGAGATTCATCCCTGCCCTGTAAAACTTCACGTATCTTATTGAAGTTTGTGGGCTTCTTAGCTGCTGCCCTTAGACCCCTAACCAGAGACTGGCATAATGACATAAGGCTTCCTGCCCTGCACTGGAGTTGGGATCCCACTTAGGGGGAAGTGTGAGGAGTTGTTCCTCTATTTCTTGGCAGCTTGCTTGGGTGTCCCCTTCCCCTAAAAGGCCTTTTGCCGCTTCCCTATATATTCTCCCTCTCTCTTCTGATGTAAATAACATCTGCAAAATCTGTTGACAATCGTCCCATGTTGGTTGGTGGGTACGGAAAATAGTCTCCATCAAGGAGATTAATTCTTGGGGCTTCTCCGAAAAGGAGGGGTTTTGGTGTTTCCAATTGCATAAATCATTAGTTGAAAAAGGGACATAGATATAACGCCTCCTGGAGGTGCCCCTGGCTGTGGGCACCTCACGGAGAGGCAACATTGGAAACGAGGAGTCTGGGATTCCTTCCCTTTAACTGTAAGGCGTGCCTTGTGGGTATGCGGGGGACTATCTAAATTCAGGGGAGGGGCTGATCGAGGGGCTTCAGGAGGTCCCCGTGAATAAAGGGGAGGGTCTAGTAGCCCCTCGATTGGGTCCTCTGGCAACACCGGATAGAGCCTGTCCTTAGGGCGTGGCTCTGGCGGGGGACTCGTCCGGGGTTTTTCGAGCCCTTTGAGGGCTGCTCCGGAGGCAATTCCCCTTTTGGTCTGGGGCAGCTAGCATAATAGTGCGGCCCCCAATTTTGGCTTTCATTTCTTCCCCCTTCATTTCTAGGGGTGCAAGGCATTTTCCTAGATAGCCCGGCTTGTCATGAGCCATATCTATCCACACATCTATATATACTTGTTGGTCGGGGTGTGGGCCCTTGTGTATCATAGCTCCAACAGCAAACAATAAGGAGAGGTCACGTGACCCCTCGGATGGCCAGTCTACGCCACTCAATGGCCACTCTGATTCCCACAGTCCTGAGGAAGCCTGGGTCTGCTGGCTCCCGTGGTCACAGGGGCGCTAAAGAAATCAGAGAGGTTACTCAGCAGGCATCGGAGGGCTCGGGCCTTCCAGTCGGCCTCCAGTCGGCTCGCCCCATTCTGTGGGAAAGAGAAGTACACAACAACAACAACACAAAGACAGACAATAACAGACAGCAGAACTTTCACATTCATTCACCAGCCGAATCCACAAGCGGGTCCGAAACAGAAGTCGGGGACAGCGTCCACGTCCGACGGGGTGAGGCAGTTCGCGGCGTCCCACCTGCGGAACACCCGGTGCAGCCTCGAGGAGACGAACAACGGACGGAAAGGGATGGTGTTTCCCTCCTCCAGACGTCCCGGGACGGATCCGAAAACTCGTGGTCCAATCGAGGGCCAATTTGAGGCGAAGGATATGGAGGCTTCCTTCGCCTAGTCTGAGGTCTACCCCAAAGGGAGGGGACCTCGTGGTGATCTCGCTGGGGCCTCCAAATGTAACCCAGGAGAATCAGCCTCACCGGACACAAAGTAATTTTGAATATTAGGAGCTTTATTACCTGCGCAGGGACTGAGCCAACCTACGCAGAGGAAGCTGCAGCTGCCAGCAGGGGACTTTCAGCACTTTTAAAATCAGGGTTAAACAATACCAGCTAGCAAACTTGTGACAGAGATGGATAACACAGATAATACAGATTCTTTTCACTTGAAACACATTATAGCACATATATATGTGCATACATGCTGAAAATATATATATATATAACCTGTAAGATGGAATGAAATATGCATACCATATTTATAACAAAGACTGAGGAACCTAAACTCCTAAATCACACAATACCTGGACAAAACTTTTTTATCCAAAGAATAATTCCTTGAAAGCAGCTATTAGATGAAACAACAAAAACTTTTATCCAAAGTTTTCAGACCTTTTATTGGCTTTCTTTTCTGCATAACCCTCTCTCAATAATTAAATTGAACATTTTTTGTATCTGTACACATGGGCTTTCAAGCCACATTCCTACAGTCCTTTCTTCAGCTCTTCATGCACAGCTGGGCTGCTGGAGGCTTTAGCTTGGAGCTCTTCTGTGTCCTCTAACACAAACTCAGCCTCCGCTAGGTGTTCCTGTTTCACAGCATGGGCTGCATAGTTAAGGCTGGTATTTTCACTCCAGTGCCAATGACCTGAGAAGGGATTGTAGATCATTCCTACCACAGTTTGAACTGACAGACCATCTGAAAAACATATCACAAAGAGTAGATTTAATAAATATGTACCTTCCAAGTGCCAAGAGTCTCCGTGTTAAAAAAGGGTTCCTAACTCAATGGGCAAAAATACTTTGTAACCACGTGCTGATCATTCTTCACTGCAGCATAGTAAACTCCAAAGCCTACTGCTTGGGTTCAAATCCCAGCTCTGGCATCTATTAGATGACCCTGGGCAAGTCACTTCACCTTTCTGAATTTCAGTTTTCTCACACAGGCAGAACATAGATCATAGGGTAGTCAGAATCAGATATGAGTATAAAGTAGCCAGTGCTTGGAATTTGTAAGTACTCAATAAACATTAGCTGTTCTTAGAAAATACATACCTGCCAACAAGTGATTGTTCCTATAAAGCATCTTTAATATATTTCCTCTACTCTATTTTCAACAAGGTTACTTGCAGAAATCTTTAAACTTTCTACTCAAGTTTATTGATATACTGTTTTATAAACAAAAATCATGATACATATGAGTCTAAATACTTAACAAAAATACCAACAGCCAAATAATGAATAATTGATAAATGTTATTACTTGACAGGAATCCAATACATAAATCCAATGTTCATGATAAGTATAACAATCAGGAAAAATATTAAGTACAATAAGCTGATACAAGGAGGGCCTCAACAGGACAAACCAAGGATGTGTAAGTAATAGACATTTGTATCTCATCCTTAAACAAGTGAGGACTAAACACTCAAAAGGTATTCACCAATTACCTATGACTTGCTCGGCTCTGGGTTAGGTGCCACAGGTGAGAGAGAAGTAGTATCTAATACTTAATCCTCACTTCAAGGAGTTTATGATCTAGTTGAGGAGATGAAACCAACATCCAAACAATTGTGGCCTATTTAATTAAATGCTAGGTTGTGTGATTAATAATTACAGGTACATTAAAAGTTCAGCGAGGCCTTGAAAATTGGAAAAATTCTTAATGCTTACTTGATTCCAAAATGCTTTCTAGTTTTTCAGGTGAAACAAACTTCTCCCAGGTATGAGTACCTTTGGGTACAATACCTGCAATTTGCTCTGAAAAAACAATTCCCAAAGCATAGGATAGCTGTGTTTTGTTGATTGTAGTAATGAATAAAGAACCACCAGGCTACAAAATATAGAGAAAGAGAAATAAGCATTTAAATGTCAGGAGCATCAGTTAGGTAAAGGCTTGGCTTCCCCCACCCTCCTCCTTCCTTCCAAATAATTTAAGTGCGGTTAAGATACATAAGTATGAATAAAATATAATTTACCAAAATAGTATTTTTTTTCATCTTGGGAAATTCATTACCAAAGGCAGTCCACTACCGATACACTCACCAAGATGATGCGACAGTGCTTACAACTCTTAAAATCATGCATTGCTATGACTTATATTTATATTATACACATTATTTGTACATATCAAATACTTCATAATAAAAATATAGAAATGTGATCAGGCTGCTCTTCCTTATTGCATGTCCAGATTTGTTTTAACACGTCAGCCCTGCTTTCTCCTTCAGTGCTGAGTCTAACCTGCTCGACACAGTGCACAGCTCCACACCTGTGCAGGTGAGCAACACCAGTAACTGCACTTGGAAAAATACGTTGTAATTAAGATTTGAAAATTTTTTTGTTTTGAATTGATTTCATTAGTATTAAGCAGCTATTTTCAACTGGTGTGTCGCATGAATTTTTAAAACATGCAATACCTGACTATTTAGTTAGGGCACCGACCTCTTTTCCCTTAGACTGTTAAATAGAAAAGTGACAACAGCCAACACAACAATAGCCATCTGGTGCTAATGAATCAAAATTATACCTATGCTTTTTTGGTCAGATCAGCAAAAAATATATTTTCTGGTGTGCCGCAGACTTTTAATAATTAATTTATATGTGCCATAAGATGAAAAGGGTTGGAAATTACTAATATTAAAAAATGAAAAGATTAAATCCAAACCATCTATGAAACTGTTTAGTCTGCTAATTTTCAGTGACTGTATTTAAAGTGTTTCCTATATTTAGTCCCACAAATAGCAAGGACATCTCCTTCCTCTTTTACACACTATAATCAGCCTGGTGAGGATAAAATGCCAAAGATTCTCTCCAAAATAATTATATTACTCTATACAAGGGAGGGTAAAAGTAGGTTTACAGCTTTAAGTATGGAAAATACTACAATAATTAATAAATAATAATAATAATAATACAAGAAAAAACTCTGTGTTTTGCATACTCACGACTATAAACATACTTTTGCCCCACCCTGTATGTACATATATATATAGGAGAGAGAGAGAAAATATATCTCAAATACCATCCCAAACCAAAAATAGAAAAAAGAAAGCCCTAAAATTATGGCCAGCACACTTACATGAAAAACTGAAATATTAAACATTATTTCATCACACATTGTAACTTTTTTCTGTAAAACTCCAATATTCTAAAGTACCTTCTTAAGAATCACTTATGTGTTCATTATATCTCAACAGAGCGAGAGGGAAAATTGTTAAAAGTAGGGGAAACTGGGTGAAGTGTATATGTGAACACTGTACTATTTGTGCAACTCTTCTATAAATCTAAAATTATTCAAAAGAAATACTATTTTTAAAAAGCTCTATTTAGGTAAGGGTTGTTATAAAACAATGAAAAACTAGGAAAATTCTGGGACAAGTGGAATAGGGAAACTGAGGCAGGAAAATTAAAGCCAAGAAGTTTGGCAGGCCACGCATATAGCAGGACATTATCTTGAGAACAAAGGGTTAAGAGCTCTTCTCACAGAAGAATGCAGGAGAGGAGGGGGAACCCAGAGGACTTAGTGCAAATCATCCTGAAGTTGTTTAGACAGCAGGGCGGAGGGGGAAAGAAGGGTGTAGTCTTATCTAATCCTACTATTTAACATAAAGCTACCTTCCCATAAATGGTGGAAAAGCCGCAACAAAGAAAAGCAGAGACTTCCGAGTTAATCTGTACCAGGACATCTAGCAGAGGAATTTTCTTTAAAAATTTACAGACAGGAGGGTATATAAAACAGATCGTCTGAGGAGAGCCCATCTGCACTTCACAAGCCAGACGTATAGGTTTGCTTGCCTTGCTTCATTAATAAATGTGCACGCTTTAATTTTTTAATAAATTCATTTGCTTTAATGTTTTAATAAATTCATGACATCACAACACAATCAAGGTCCCTCGTATAAGTTCATTTATGTGAGAAGACAAGGATGGAGGTTGGGAACAGCCCACTCCCTCTGACTCAGGGGCTGTCTGATAACCTCTAGTGTCTGTGAGAGGTGCCAGTCACAGGGCTAAGCACCACATTCTCTTAGTCTTGAATTCAGGGTGTTAACTCTTTAATACATAAACAACAGAGTCAGTATAGTAATAATAATAATAGGGAAATTTATTTAAAAAATTTGGAATCACTTTCAGAAGACTAAGTCTGTGGCAAATTATAAAAGCATAATAATGTAATGGAAAAAATCAGATTTGGAATCAAAAGATGTAACTTTAAATCCCATTTCAGTTCCAGCCCATGTGGCTCAGTGGTTGAGTGTCGATCCATGCACCAAGAGGTCGTCAGTTCAATTCCCAGTCAGGGCACATGCCCAAGCTGTGGGCCAAATCCCCAGTAGGGAGCATGCAGGAGGCAGCCAATCGATGTTCTCTCTCATTGATGCTTCTATGTCTCTCCCCTCTCCCTTTCTCTCTCTCTAAAAATCTATTAAAAAAAATTTTTTTAATAAAAAATAAACCCCACTTTAGTACCTAGTCACCTTTAACTTAAAGACCAAACGACCTTTGACATTTCTCAAATTTTGATCTTCATTGGTCAAAGGAGGTCATAACAATGCCTGCCTTACTTTCCTAACCTAGTTGTAGGTCAGATCAAGTGAGATCATATGCATGAAGTACTCATTCCTTCTTTCTTTTTTGTTAATCCTCACCTGAGGATACTTTTCCATTGATTTTTAGATAAAGTGGAAGGAGGTGGGGAGATAGAGAGGGGGGAGAGGGAGAGAGAGAGAGAGAGAGAGAGATCGATTGGTTGCCTCCTGCAAGGCCTCAGTTGGAGCCGGGGATCAAATCTGCAACCCAGGTCTGTGCCCTTGACCAGACATCAAACCTGTGACCCTTTGATCGGCAGGCCGGTGCTCTAACCATTGAGTCAAACTGGCCAGGGCAAAGTATTCTTTTATAAACTGAAAACTGTTATACATATCACATACAGAGTATTTAACAAATGCTACCTAAGTCAATTTATGCTAATAATGATTTTTATTCATTTTTTAGGTATTAATCCAAACACATTTCTTAGTAATTGTCATTCAATGTCTATTAGGTATTTAATCTAGACGATACCTATGGAAAAATACCACTAAAAATTTACTGGTTGTATTATAATGTTCAGCACTAACATTTTTCCAGCTCTCTGGACATCAAGACACTGGATCTGGAAAACCCTGGTATTGGGGGCAAGATGAGGCAGCAGTAATCTGAAGCAGAGATGCTGTCCCCTAGTCCTGGCTTCCTGGTTTCAAATATTATGAAGTAGTTGTTGCTATGAATACATATACACACCGAAAAGAAAATCAAACAAGTAAACTCTGTAAATCTTACTTTTAACACTTGACAGCAGCACTGTATAAATGTTTCTAGGTCAAGCACATGTTCTACAACTTCAGAAGCTACGACAGCATCAAACGTTTCTGCAGTCTCTTCCACAATCTCTTCCAGGGAACACGCTCTGTACTCTACCCTCTTATCCAGGACTGGATCAAACGACTTATGGTGCTGTGCTGTCTTTATGTTCTCATCCACAGGATCAATTCCAATAACTGAAGCCCCAAGCCGCCCTAGAGGCTGATGGTATAAAAAAACTGTTACCCTCAGGAAGAAAATAGACCAATGTTAGCAATAAAAAGCTCATCAAAAAGGCAACAAGATTAACCATGAGGGGATAATTATTAGAAACTGTTTATGGGAACATGGAAGTTCATTATACCATTTTGTCTAGTGTGTACACTTTGAAAATTTCCATAATAAAAAAACTTAAAAGTGAGAACAATAATGACAACAACAAAAAATTCATCAAGAACTACTTGAGAATAGTGAAAAAACTGTCTGTATTTTCTAGGTATATTCAACATGTACATAGTACAGTATTGACATATTTAAAATGCAATGAATGTTACATATTGTAAAAACAGCAAAATTGGCCCAGCCAGTGTGGCTCAGTGGTTGAGCATTGACCCATGCACCAAGAGGTCGCTGGTTTGATTCCTGGTCAGGGCACATGCCCAGGTTGTGGGCCTGATCCCCAGTGGGGGCATGCAGGAGGCGGCCAATCGATGTTCTCTCTCATCCATGTTTCTCTCTCCCTCTCCCTCTCCCTTCCGTTCACTCTGAAAAAAAACCCAGCAAAATTGTCTCTTATTCAAATTATCAATTTTTTCTTGATAGCTTTTCCCATGACTGACTAGGAATGATTCTTCATAGCTAAGTCTTCTTTCAACTTTTATATTCAATCACTTCCCATGGAATGCTCAAGGTTTCATTTTTGTTGTTGTTGTTTTTTAGAGAGAGAAAAGAAGAGGGAGAGAAAGATAGAAACATGGATGAGAGAGAAACATAGATTGGCTGCCTCCTGCACATTACCCACTAGGAATCAAGCCCGCAACCTGGGCATGTGCCCTGACCAGGAATCGAACCAGTGACCTCTTGGTGCATCGGTCAACACTCAACCACTGAGCCACACTGGCCGGGCCAAATGATCAAGTTTTTAAACACAGTCTAATATTTATCAAAACTTGCATAGAATTTATTTTATAACTTTTAGTCAATAAAAGCATAAATCAAATTATTTTAACTGTAGAGACATAAGATCTGTAATAATACACTGAAAAGACTGTAAAATACACATAGTAAAATCTTATTTATAATTTGATACACCACCTATTCTTGATTCTAAGGAATATGTTTTCACATATTTTCTATTTCCTGAAATTTTATAACTGATATCAGAGAAACCAGCCCACTGCCATATGAAGAACATGCTTTTTGTGCACGTGGAAACCTAGCTATGCATCCAAGGCCTCTCTTTTAGGCTCACTCTCAACTTGTTGGTATGGACCTTGACACTACCACATCCCACTGAACCTTCACTTACATTTATATCCTGTACTACTGTTTAAAATATCTTTCAAAGATCAGATCATGATGCAGCACTGAAACGACGTTACTATTTTGATAGAAGAATACAAAATAAAGCTGCGGAGCATAAATTTACTATACCCTAACGCAAATCTTCACAGAGAGAATGAGTATTCTTTCAAGTACTCTAAAGCACCTGAGAAGGGAGGAGCCCTACAAGCAGGCAAAATTCTGTTAGGTTTTAATATCCAAGCAAAGGCAAAATGATGGCTTATCGCAGCATCTAAACCAGTGGAAACTGCCTAATCTCTTGGAATAGAAGAGACATCAAAATTTCCAAAGCTATTCGAATGACCAGTGCTTCATTTTGTGTGAAAATAAAAAATCCCTCACTATAATTTTCTAAAATTTTTATATATTTAAAGAAAATATATTACTTTCATAATCATAAAAATATTAAGAACAGGCATTTTTAAATGCACCATATGCAGCATAAATCCACTTCTTAAATTTATTTTTTTTCCCAGTAAAAAATGACAGAAAACTTGTAAATCACTTACTTCAGTTAACAATCCACCACCACAGCCAACATCAAGAATCTTCATCCCAAACAAAGGTTTTCCTGGCTGGTGATTAGCAATTGTTTTTAAAAGATTGTCTCTTTTTTAAAAATTCAAAACATATGAAAATTATTAATTTTATCAATTAAGTCTGAAAAGTGTACAATTTTCAATGAAATATTAAACTCTCATTTTAAAAGGGATCATTGATTTTTTGGGGGGTCAACAGATCTTTTATTTTCAGCATTAAGTAACTTTAATTTACAAGATATTTTAATAATCAAAAGCAGGAGGGTCAAAATAAAGCTCTTGAAATATCTAGCAATAATTATGACTTAATTGTTAGTTTAGTCATAATCTAAAGAAAAACTTAAAAAATAATCTAATTTAGATTAACCTAATTTATTTGCTTGAGATATGATGTCACCTACTGGCTACACTGTCACACCCATTTCATATCTGCAACAAATAGGTTATTTTACAGGGCTTAGCAGAAGCACACTAGAAATCTTTATTTTCAGAATTTGCCTACATTCCCTTCTAAATTGAATCTCTTTTAGTCTTCTTAGTTAGTGGTGTTTTCATGATCATGTAAACAGGCATCCAAATCAGGTAAACTTAATTCTAAGATAATCATAGTAATACTTTACCACACATATGCAAACATAAGTGCATGCCCACACACAAACACACACACACTTACACACAGATATAAACCTAACAGTATTGTAAACTAAACTTTTAAGTTGTTATATATAATATCTTTTTATTGTCATTAAAATTAACTGACTTCTAAGAATAACCTAGACAGTCATTAAGTAGATAACTTCAGAATGTTGTAACATACAGAAAAGGACATATTTCAAATAAAATCCAATCCATTCTTCACACATCAGCCAAAATAACTACAATTCATCATAATTTAGATCATATCATTCCCCTTTGGTGGCTTCCAATTATGCTCAGAATAAAATCTAAACTTCTAACTATAATCTGCACTACCCTGGGAGATCTTCTTTAGAGTGGTCTAAATGATGGTGTCACAGTAGTTTGAATAGAGTTCTCAAGCTGAGAGTATTTAAGAATTATCTGAAGGTTTGCTAAAACACAGTTCACTGACCCCCCACCCCCACCCCCACCCCCCAGTGGTCAGGGTAAGACCTCACAATTCTGCATTTCTAACAAGTTCCCAGGTGATACTGATACTGCTAGTCTAGGGCCTGCACCTTGAGAACCACTGATCTAATCTAAAGAATGACACTTTGCTCTTCTCTGCCTTAGTGTTTCAGTGATCCACAAATTCAGTGGTAATAAAAAGTTATCACATTTCCATTTGTGCTGCACTGATTCTGGACGAACCCGTGAACCAATCAGGAAGTTCCTCAGGAGTAGTCTGAGCCTGACATTCTGTGTCTATTATAGTGCCATGCCCATGCCCACTGCTCTAAAATGTGTAATGAGCAAACACAAGAATGAATGAGCAATTTCTTGATAAACTGAGTCTAATGAACCCTTGCCTTTACCTTTAGTTTGCTATTGCAAACTAAAAGTGCTTGAAGTACATGGACTATGTTTCAAATGATGATGTCTTAGTAGCTTTTACAGTGTCTAGCCCCCAAGCTCTGTACAAGGTAAGTTCTCATTAAATATTTGTTGAATTGAACTATCTCAGCCGTATTCCCTTTATCAGGACTGCCTAAATGTCAGAGTTGCTATAAAATGAACTTGATGTCATAGGACCCTAGTTCCTTTTCATAAGGATGTAATTCCAATTAACCAGATGATGTCCAAAAATGCTTCAATTTAATTTACAAAAGCAGTCTAGAATCTGGATGATGTTATTAAAAAACTAATGGTTTCAAACAATGGACATTGAAGAGAATCTCCCTAATTTCTAAAGTGAACTTAAAATACAGCATTTTGAATCTATGTATAAACCAAGAGAAAAATGAACTGAAAAGAAGATGATTAAAAAGACTTGCATTTTAAAAGACCTAGAATTTCTGGAATGTTACCTAATAAATGGCACCCTCAAGTCGTTCATAGAATGAAGAGGTGCATATGCTCCTTGCTCATCCCACCACCTGTGAGCCAGGGTCAGGAAGGTTTTTACCTCCCTGCTGTCTACAGTGGTTCGAGAAGTACTGTACGGTCTTGTCCAAGGGTATCTAAAAGGTCAAAATGAAGAGCCAGGTAAAAACTGCTGGTTTTAAAAATGTAACATGAGTATATTATGTAGAAAGATATTCTAATGTACAATTTACTAGATAATAAATTCATGTATTGCTTAATTTTTTTTTTTTTATCCTCACCCGAGGACATTTTTTGTTCAGGTAGAGTGGGAGGGAGAGAGAGGGAGAGAGAGAGAGAGAGAAACATTGACGTGAAAGGGACACATCGAGTGGCTGCCACCCGCATGACCGACCAGGGCCAGGGACAAACTGCAACCAAGGTACATGCCCTTAGCGGGAACCGAACCCGGGTCTCTCGGGACCGCAGGCTGATGCTCTAACCGCTGAGCCAAACCGGCCAGGGCTGTATTGCTTATTTTTGATGCATCAAAAGCAAGCTCCCTTATAATCAACTGCTTATAAGTACATTTTATTCACAGACAAAACAATTAATTTGCTTTCAAAGTAAGTTACAATGAAAATAAAACTATAAAACTTAGCCTTCTGAGTCACATTTAATAATAATAATAGTAGCAGTAGTGGTAGCAGTAACCATTTATTGAACACTTACTATATGCCGTTACTATTTAAGAACTCAACATATATCATATGTCATCTCATTAAATCTTCCTGGCAACTCTATAAGGTAGGTACACACTACTATTATCATCTCTATTACACAGATAAGAAAAGGGAAGCTCAGAGAGATGAAGTGGAGGATTCAGGATTTGAACTCAGGTGCCTTCATCTTCTTTTCTCCTATCTGCTATCATCCTAGTCCAAACTTCCATCATCTCTTGTTTGAATCATTATCCTAGCCTTCTGATTAGTACACCTCCTTCCTACCTCATCTACCTCCAATCTGTTCTCAACAATCCACTTCTCTCGTTATCCTCCCACTTCAACCACCTGGGCCTTCTTTCAGTTCTTGGAACTGACCATGCTTGCTCCTTCCTCAGGTACTTGCTGTTACGTCTTCCTGGAATTTTATTCTCACATTACCCCTTCCTTCCTCTACACACCTATTTAATTCCTTCTCTCTTCCAGCTTTTAGTTTGAATGGAATGTCATCTAAGAAGTCTTCTCTGATTCAAAACTGGGTCATATCCCCTATTAAGTCCTATACAACTTCATACTTCTTCAGGGGCAATGTGGTTATTTGGTCCTGTCTCTCTGCTGGCACAAGAACACTATGAGGGCAAAGCATGGACTGTCTCACTCACCATTTTATTCCTAGTGACTAGCAACTTTTCCTGGAACACTGCTGGTGCTCAGGAAATATTTATCAAATGAATAATCTGGGGGTGAAGGCCCAGACAAGCATATAATTCACCTAAAAACACTTTTTAAAATCAGGTGGGATCAAACAGGGTCTAAACAGTGATCAGACAGAAAACTACACCAAGTTCCATGTCAAAGTACATAATAGGAAAATCCTCTGAAAGTACTTGGGTAAGAGAGAATAAGGTTAGTATGTTAAAATAGGTAATGCCATTTAAATTTTTACTATGTTTTTTGGTTTCCTTAGCTATATAGAATACATTCTATATTGATTACTTATTATCCTTTTAAGAGTTAAATTTCACTTTTTAAAAATATTTATCTTATGAATATTATCCTTCTTTTCCATGATTCATGCCAAGGATTAGTTATCAAGGATTAACTTTAGATAACAGTAGTTGGTTGCTCAGTTGGACTCTAAGAATGATTTCACATACACCCAATCTTAAAGGAACTAGCTCATTTACAAGTAGAATCATGCACTCATACCTTAAGCCTAAGCAATATTTTTTACAAGATTAGAAACTGGTTTATAAAATAAGAATACAGAAAGACATTACTTACTACTACTTAAAATGTATATTTATCCACCTTATCATACTATTTATGTTGTCCCAAATCATTTAAAATTTTAAGCACTGTGTTATATGTGTCCTGTCATAGGGATATGATGAGGAAGTAAAAAATACTTACACTGACAGGGTTTATTAAACACAATCAATATAAAACTATTATTCACATAATTATGTAAATATATACCACAGTAATGAATAAACTTACCTATAACTTCTCATTGTATTCAAGCAGGCAAAAGTCATTCTGAAGGATTTTAACCACATGATTCTGTATTTACTGAAAACCCATGGTTTAATTTGTAGAGTCCAACTGAGCTGATTCTCTAAATAAACTGAAAAAAAAAAATTAAATGTCTAAAGAAAGCACAGTATGAATCCCTAATATACATGTGCTTGAAGAAAGTATATTATGTAGCAATCTTATACTATAATTGATAAGTTTTTTTCCTTAATTTTGAATTTTACTCTAAAATATAAAATAAAGGTCTTGCATTCTACCATCTAACCCAAATCAAACATTTCTGAAATTATAAGTAAAAATAAGTAATGCATATGTAAAAGTTTTTCATGCCATTAGTTTTTTAATCTAAAAAATGCTGCACAAAATTTTCAAAAATGATACTCAAATTAAAACCACATTACCTTTTAAGAGGGGGGATGGGGACATCTGTAATAGTGTCAACCATTATATAAAAAACTACATTACCTTTTAAACTAGGGTAAGTCTGAGATTATTTTTCAAAACTAGTTTAAATTCTGTCACTTCCATGTTAGCTACATAAAATGGAGCTATAAATATGTTAAACACCCTTTACAGAAGAAAAAAACTCTTTTTTTTTTTTTTATAGTTTTATTTTTATTTATTTATTTATTTATTTTATCCTCACCCGAGGATATTTTTCCATTTTTTGTACAGATAGAGAGGAAGGGAGAGAGAGACAGAAACATCGACGTGAAGGGACACATCGAGTGGCTGCCACCCACACGACCAACCAGGGCCGGGGACAAACTGCAACCGAAGTACATGCCCTTAGCGGGAACTGAACCCGGGTCTCTCTGGACCGCAGGCCGACGCTCTAACCGCTGAGCCAAACCGGCCAGGGCAGAAAAAAACTCTTAAAACATTTTAAAATAACACTCATCTAGTCTATATGCTCAAACTTACATAGGGACTTCTTTATGAACTACTTAATCTGCTGCAGAAAGTTCAATTGTTCAATAACATTTAGACAAAGTAGATCTTAGAGCAGGGGTGGGGAACCTTTTTCTGTCAAGGGCCATTTGGATATTTATAACATCATTAGCAAGCCATACAAAATTATCAGCTTAAAAATGAGCCTGCTATATTTGGTCAAACATTTAATTAACTCATCTCTAATGTGATGGCTGGAACTGCTTCTCTTTGGTGTGGCGTGTGATGTTAGCTGGGATTGATGATGTTGCTACTTGCAACTGCTTTTCCAGGTTTGCATAGGTCAGTCTGGAGCACAGTTAACTCTTTGCAATGGTAAGTTTTGAAAAGAACTGCTTGCACACAGATGCATATTTCAATGCATGTCTCCTCAAAGTAGGACATTCATCATTGCTTATGTACATTTACAGAACTCAGGCAGTGGGAGGTTGTTGTACCTAGCTTTCAGCTCATTATCACTTTGCAGCTGAATAGTTTCATGTTGGAGGTTATTAGGCACATCAACTGGTTCCACATTGAATGGCGTAGCAAAGATGTCCAATTCCAACTGTTTACTTTTCACATCCTTGAATTTTTCATTATATGTCTCAATTAGCTTTGCACATTTGCTAGCATATTCAAATGTCATAAAAGGCTTTTGTCCTTCCAGAGTGGGGAAATGCACCGTGTTATTACTTTGGACTTGCCCTTTCCACAGTCTTAATTTAGCTTCAAATGATTTCACTTTTGAAAGCAAGGTGCTGAGCCCGACAAGTGTGGCTCAGTGGTTGAGCGTTCACCCATGCTCCAAGAGGTCACTGGTCTGATTCTTGGTCAGGGCACATGCCCAAGTTGTGGGCCAAATCCCCAGCAGGGGGCATGCAGGAGGTGGCCAATCAATGTTCTCTGTCATCAATGTTTCTATCTCTCTCTCCCTCTCCCTTCCTCTCTCTCTAAAAATCAATTAAAAAACATTTTTTTTTTTAAATATTAAAAAAAGAAAGCAGGGAGCTGAGAAGCTGGTTGGGGCCCTGCAGCTTGATGTTCAGCTCTGAGAGGTACATGGTACTGTCCACCATGAACGCTAAATCACACAGCCACTTGCTATCATTGAGTTCCCTGACAGGTTTTCCCTTCATCTCCATGAAATGCTTGACTTTACCCAGAGTTCATTCAGTAACTCCTTAAACTGGCAGCTGTTAAATCCTCTGCTTTTGACAAGACTTATGCATGACACTACTGTTGACGTCACATTTTTGAACCACAATGACTGTGCACAGAGACTTTCTTGGTGTATGATGCAGTGGCGTATAATTAAATCACTTGGATCAAGACTGAGACGACTCAGTTCTGTCTTGACAAATGCAATTAATCCTGTTTGCAAGCCAACCATGGCTGGAGCTCCATCTGTAGTAAGGCCACTTAACTTTTCAAATGTTAGCTCAAGTTTTTTCACTGATAAAACAAGTCTCTCAAGTCTTCGCCTCTTGTAGTGCCATGTGTGGCAGTACAAGTTCTTCCTGTGACAGTAATTCCTCTCGCATGTCAAACTCTGCAGTTATCCCACGAATGAAGACGGCCAGTTAGGCAGTATTTGTTATGTCTGTTGTCTCCTCACAAGCCAGAGAAAAAAATTGGAAATCTCCTGCAGAATCCTTCAGTGCTTTTTCAATATCTTGTGCTAAGTCAGTAATCCAATCTGAGACCATTCTCCGAGACACACTAACACTGAAACAATTTTACTCTGTCTGGTGCTAACAACTCCACAGCAGCCACCATGCACTCTTTCACAGACTCACTCCCTACATGAGGCCTCAGCTTCCCTGTGATTAGCTCGCTCACTACATAACTTATCTGAATACTGATGTCTCTGTCACAACGAGGCCTAGGGAAAGTGGCTTATAATTCCAAACTCCCACAAGAGCATTGTGGGAGCATTTGCTCCCACATGAGCAAATGAATTTGGCCTCCCAATTCATTGAGTTTAGTATGTTTTGAGTTGTAATGATGCTCCAGATTGGCTTTTTTTTTTCATTTTTGCTAATGAATCCCCACAAACTAGGCATATAGGTATGCCTTTGACTTAAAAAAAAAAACATTTTTCCATTTCTCTTGGAAAGATCAACACTCTGCATCAACTTTTCTTTTGGTTGTAGTCGCCATCTGTAGGATGTCACACCACTTAAGTTTCAATAACTATCCAGTGTATGTGTTAACCAGCGATGCAATTATTTTGCTTTGATTGCTGTTCTAATCCTAAATTTTGGATTTAGAACACATCCAACATTCATATCATCTACTTTTAAGGTCTTCTGTGTACTCTAATTTCCTTAATCTTCATCTGAGATTCAGTTTTTGTGAGGATTGTTGATTGTGGATGTGTGGATCAAGGTTTGATTGGAGTTATCGTCTGTGTCAACAAAGAAGTTGACAACATCCTCGTCAGTTATCAGAGGCAAGGTCATCAACATCTTGTGGAATCATCGAATAATCTCATCACCAGATCACAGTAGTTTCACCACTGCATGTTAACACTTTTGCAACATGTACACTCCCAGCCTGCCTGGTACTGACTGTTCTCTGAGTCACCGCAATACAGGCAGATAGGCCCTGGCAGCTGATGCGAATGTGTCTGTCCCGTCATGTAGTACTCATATGTGTCCTGTCTATCCCGTAATGGACATTCCTTGCTTGTCCCTCCAAATTTATGTTATTATTATGATTCACTTAATATAAATTTATGTTGCTATGAAAAAAGCTCAGAGGTTTATTGAATTTCCAGTCCCACCTGCAGTTGCTTAGCAGGGCCAAACCAAATGACTCTGTTGGCCTTATATGGCCCACAGGCCCGAGGTTCCCCACCCTGTCTTAGAGCAAAGAAAATTACCATGCTCATTACAATATAATATAAAGAACAATCCACCAAGAAGATAAAGCAACACTAAATGTGTATGCACTGAACAGACTTTCAAAACACATGAAGCAAAAATAGAACTGAGAGGAGAAATAAATCTACAACTATAGTTGGAGACTTCAACACCTCTTCCTCAGTAATTGATAGTATCACTAGACAAAAAATCAACAAGGATACAGAGGAACTGAATAACATCATCAAGTAATTGAAATGTTTTTTTAATACTCACCCGGGAATATGTTTAGTAATTTCAGAGAGAGAGGAAGGAAGAAAGAGAGAGAGATGGGAGAGAAACATCCATCAGTTGCTTTCCGTTTGTGCCCCAAATGGGCATTGAACCTACAACCTAGTATATGCCCTGACCAGGAATCCAACCTTTTTGGTGTATGGGCCCTCGCTCCAACCAACTGAGCCACCAGGCCACGGCTAGTCATACTTTTTATAGGCTACACTATTTTTCACTGTATGAGAACACCAACTTAACTCTATTAGTGGGCCTTTACGTTTCTTTTCTTGTTTTGCTCATTACACCCTAATCTTAGTTGTATCCTAACATTTTTTGGAGACCTTTGAGCTGTCGTTCTTTTAAAAATTCCCAGTGACTGGCATACAGTATTTATTAAATGAGTTTCATTAAAGGACGAACTAAACTTTCTGATTAACACTAGGAGAAAATAATCAAACTGTCTTCTACAAGCACCAAGTACAGCGTGTTATTTTCTTAATTTCTGCCCATACAATCTGTTCAATTAACCTATTAATCAAAAAAGTGGTATAGTTGCCTTAACTTTTTTTCTGAAAAGAGGCAAGATCAGTGCAAACAAGACACAAATAGGACGTTATGTATTAATAACTAGGAGACACCCGCTGGTGTGGCTCAGTGGTTGAGCCTCGACCCATGGGTTCAATTCAGGTCTGGGCACATGCCCAGGTTGTGGGTCTGACCCCCAATGGGGGGCATGCAGGAGGCAGTCAATCAGTGTTCCCTCTCATGGATGTTTCTCTCTCCCTTCCTCTCTCTCTAAAATCAATAAAGGGAAAAAAATTTTTTTTAAATAAAAATAACTAGGAGACAGCAGCTGGCGTCCCTTCCCGCTGTGGCAAAGGAAGAAAGCACACGACCTTGAGACTGGCTGGCACAGAGCAGTTGCCCGCTCCTAACTACGGAAGGAACTCAAATTGAGACAGAAGTCGTTGGATCTATGGCAGACGCTCGCGGGCGGTGCTGTCCTTGGCCAGGGCACGTCCTCAGCTATTTTTCCCGGCCTCTGGGAAAAGAGGACAGCCGAGGCCGGAAGGGACGGGAAGGGTCCTGCCCTGATTCCCAGCGGAGCCCAGACAGTGCGGAGCCCTAACGACAGACCGCAGCCTCTCCCGCGCCTGCGCACAACAGCTGGCCCGCAGGGTGGGCTCCTGCGGAGGGCCTGCACACGTATACTCACCCGCCGACGTGATTGAGCGAGAACAGTCAGCCTGTGGACTCCGGCTCCTAGATTTAAACACTCCTAAAGAACGACTGCTGGAGGAGCTTAGCTTGCGGATTCCCCACATCGCGACAGAAAGAGTCCACCTCTCTTCCGGTCCCTCCGGTAAAATGTCCCCAACAGAAAGGTTCCCAGATTCACTCTTGCGGTCAGGAGTCAATCAAATCACAGTTGCACTATTAGTATTTTATGTACTTTATTTATATATATAGTTTCTTCACCCTCAACGTGTGTCAAGTTGTACATTAAGCTAGAATATTTCTATTATAAACAAACTTAGATCCTTCAATTATGCCTATTCCAATATGACCTTCTCAAACTTCATGGCCAAAGTAGCCATCAATCATGCTGCTTCCTGCTATGTTATCCAGTTTTTTATTCTCTTGTAGCTCTAGCTCATATTTAACAGGGCATTTATACTCCTGTTAGACAGTCTTAGAATCATAAAAGCATGGAAGCACTTCTCTAAAGGAAGAATTGTATCCACTTTCAAGGTACTCAAATGTCAGAGGGACAGAAGTATAAATTGAGTATTTTCTGCAAGTGACTTGTTAATATTCTTGACAGGGAATATATTATATTGCAGGAGATTATTAATTACTCAGGCTGGGCAAATTTCATTTAGAGCAAGAACAGTGATTTGTAACATTTTACCTCTAAATGTATAAAAGCCTTGGTTGGGTAAGAACAATACATTTCCAACATTAAAGGTAAAAAAAAACACACTACATTTTCAAAAGTCAGACTGATAAAGGATTCTTTTAATTAGTGAAATTTATGTAGCTCAGTAATGGTTTTTCACTTATGGCTTCTTAGTAAAATATCGACCTTCTCTTTGGGGTCGATTGCAGCAGTCAGTCAAATCTTCAGAGCTTCTCTCTCAAGATGGTAGAAAGCTCTGCATAAAAGACCATTTATCAGAGAGATGCAAATTAAAACTCTAAGGTATCACCTCACACCTGCCAGAATGGCTACCATCAAAAAATTATCAAACAAGCCTGGCTGGTGGGGCTCAGTGGCTGAGCATCAACCCATGCACCAAGAGGTCGCTGGTTCAATTCCTGATCAGGGTACATGCCCAGGTTGTGGGCCCCATGCCCAGTGGGGGGACATGCAGGAGGCAGTCAATCAGTGTGCTCTCTCATCAATGTTTCTCTCCCCCCCACAAAAAAAAATAAAGAAAAAAAAAAAATATCACCCTGGCCGGTTTGGCTCAGCGATTAGAGTGTCGGCCTGCGGTCCCGAGAGATGCAGGTTCGGTTCGGTTGTCGCTAAGGGCATGTACTGTATCTCAGTCGCAGTTTGTCCCCGGCCCTGGTTGGGTCGTGCGGATGGCAGCCACTCGATGTGTCCCTTTCACATAGATGTTTCTCTCTTCCTCTCTTTCCCTTCCACTCTATCTGAACAAAAAAATTAAAAATTGAACTGCCATTTGACCCAGAGATCCCACTTCCAGGAATATATCCTAAGAAGCATAAAACACCAATCAGAAAGAATATATGCACCCCTATGTTCACAGCAGTACTATTTACAATAGCTGAGATCTGGAAACAGCCCGTGTCCATCAGTAGATGAGTGAATAAAAATCTGTGGTACGTTTACACAATGGAACCATGCCTCTGTAAGGAAGATCTCAGTACAGACAGGAAAGACTATGTGAAGACATGATGAGAAGGTGGCCATCTGCAGGCCAAGTGGAGAGGCCTCAGGAGAAACCAAACATGCCGACACTTTTATTTTGGACTAAATCTCTGTCATTTAATCCCCCTCTTCCCCCTAAAAAAGAAAGTTCTCTTACCCTTTGAGACGACATGGAGAGGGACCTGGAGAGTATTATGCTAAGCAAAATAAGCCAGAGAAAGATAAGTATCACATGATCTCACTTATTTGTGGAATATAATGAGCAAAATAAGCTGTCGAACAAAACAGGCCCAGAGACATAGAAGTAGAGAATAGACTGACAAATCTCAGAGGGAAGGGGCGTGGGGTTAGGGGTACAGGAAGAGATAAACCAAAGAGCTTATATGCATAACCAATGGACACAGACAACAGTGCAGTAAAAGCAGCAATTGGGAAGAGGAAAGTCAATATGGGGGGGGGGGGGGCATGTTATACTTTCAACAATAAAGATATATTTTTTAAAAGACCATTAGCATGTGTTGTAAGTATCTGTTGGAGTAACAGATCCAAGAAAAAAAGCAAAATGCAAGTATGATTAAAGTTCTAAGAGTTTTATTTAAATGTATTTTCTTTGAATGTACTACCTCACTGGGCTTCAGAGCCCTCCCACATTTTCAGTTCAACAAAGGCAATCAGTATTTGTCTTGATACCAACAGGGGAAAAAAAAGGTTCTTGAATACCTACTGGTGTGACTCAGATAAGCAAAACTAGCTCATATCATTTTTTCTCTACAAATACCAAAAGGCTTACCCAACAACACTTAAACCTGAGTTGTGTTGGAAGGACTAAGTTATTGTATGGTATATAGCCATTGTTGGAGTTTTCTCCCAGACCATCACTATGGTCTCACACATAAATGTGTTGTAAAAGAGTCTACAATTTATTTTACTATAAAACTAAAAATCTTATGTTTTAAAATTCAATTTTACATAAACTTTTTTCATTCAAGTTAAGGGTAACATGCTCCCTTACTGCCAACAGTTTTATTCCTTTAAAATGATATCTTACTATATCCACTCAGTTTAACTGGTAAATTTTCACATTTACAAAATTTCATGTAAATTGGTAACTAGATTAGTAAAATTTATTTTAACTTACCATAATCAGAATGTGGCAGATTTAACTGATGTGTGTTTAGAGGACAACTTTATACCTGATAAATCTTTATGGTATAAATGTAATTCATAAATATCATGTTAAACTGACACAAACCTGCATAATACAGCACGAGTTGCTTTAGGACTAATAAAAAGCCCATTTTCTCATTTAGGTTTAGACTTTACAACCAAATTCTACTTAATATTAAAGAACTTAAGAGCTTTAAGTGTTTAAGATCTTGAAAATAATCTAATTCCACCCTTACACAGATGAAGAAATTAAGGCCCATAATGATTGATTTGCCCAAAATACAACAAGTATCAGAGCCAGGACAATCCAACATATCACCATTTCCATTAAAATATACTTAGTACACTATTTTAGAAACTTCAGTATGTTAAAATATTTTTATATGAGAAGAAAAACTCAGTTTAAATGAAAAATTTTCCATAAGATGATAATATAGGGACTTTGGAACTTATGTAATTCCTATGTAAAAATTCCCAGATAAAATTAAAAACCTCACCTATAATTAATTATACAACATGTACTTCTTTGAAGAAACAGTAAGTCAAACACTAAAAAATAGACTGTTTGGGAAATTCACCTATTGTGTATATACCTTTAGAAACAGATGCTAAAAAGGTCATTTTACAATGGCAGAAAACATACACCAAGATTCCACACCAATCTTTATTTATATTTTGGGGCCTAAAACAAATTTTATAATTACTTCTTCCAAATTACATTTTATTCTCTTAATGGTGTGGCTTACCCCCATTCCACAAAAACAAGTATGATTAATACACTAGAAATGTTTTTTAAAGAACCTCTTAGACAGTTTTTATTAACCAATCCAGACCAATGATTGTCTCAAAAATTGAATCTATTTTCTGGTAGTGTCATTTTAGAAAAGACTGCATAATCAAATTATACATTTAATTAACTTATGTGTAAGTTTTAGCATTCACATCCCAAATCATGGAAGCCCTATTTTATAAAATCTTACCATTCAAGGTAAACATACTTCATTACATGTCAAGGAAATGATGAATTCTCTAAATTATCCATAAAAATCTGAAAAACCTATATATCTAATAATACTAATGTGTCTACTAATAATCACACACACCATGACTGTGTTTTAAAAAATATCTACAGATTTAAATGATAAGAAGCTTGCATATTATGGCAGAGTAAATAAAACTGTCAAATACTGCTTTTGGCTCTGGTTCATATTTTGCCCAAAAATGTGCATATCATTGCCAGCAGAACTTTTCTGTAGAATTTTATTTTGAAAATATTATTTCACTTGAAGGTTGATCTAAAAAACATTTTAAGATATGAAAACATTATACAACTTATCTCTTACAAATCGAGTAACTCTACAATTAGGTATACCGTGTCAGCTCACTTACATAAAAAATATTGCACACTTTCCTTTATTTTGTCTCCAGATGTGACTGATGTCTAAACTATATAGAATTCTAAACTATTTTAAAGTTATTCTGTGAAATGCCAACTTTATAAATATCAGAACTAAATGCACTGTAAAATAACCATTTTTGTAAACATGCATTTACTCACAGTTGATTTATTTCCTCTAGATAAATGCATAACTGCTCAAAATTATTTAAGAACTTATGTAGAGGTACAAGAGCACACTATAGAAGTCTATTTCTAACTTCATTTTGAGGAAACACTGATCTTGGCAAAAATCTGGCTTATTTTAAAATGAACTATCGCTAGTAAAAAAGGCATACTTTAACGTTTCTGTGACCTGCACGTGCTCTTTTCTTTTTAAATTAAAATTTAAAAGCATTTTTTTCAGAGATTCATCTGACTACTGTGGCAGAAGTGAATGACCACATAAAAACAAACCCTAAAAGCAGTTGAGCATTAAAATGCCTGCAAGCCTTCACCTTACTTGTAAGTTATGACTGCTTTAAATTGCTAGACCACTCACTGAGCCCAATTTTAAGAAACTGACAATACCAAACCATTTCAATGTTATGGAACTGACACAAATCTGAATACAGCATTCCTCCACTGAGCTGAAGTTTTATACTTTGAAAATATAAATAAATATATTGAGCTGTGGGTCTTATTTCTATAATAACCCCAAAGTGTTTAAAATATGCTTCTAAAACAGAAGTGGGTAACTGTAGAATATAGTTCCGGACTCCCTATTAGTGTCCAACACAATCATTCCTCATAAGTAACTCGAATTGGTACACTGGCTTGACTGAATCCGGTCATTTCATTTTACAGGAGTGATCCATACTTTATACACACAGAGAATATATTATTTTAAAATCCCCAAAATAGGAAAAGTTTGTAAAACTGTGTAATGATTCCAAATAAAAGGTAAATGTCTGTTT